ATAGAATAGAATAGAATAGAATAGAATAGAATAGAATAGAATAGAATTCTTTATTGGCCAAGTGTGATTGGACACAGGAATTTGTCTTTGGTGCATATGCTCTCAGTGTACATAAAAGAAAACATAAAATACATTCATCAAGAATCATAAGATGTAACACTTAGTGATAGTCATAGGTTACTGATAAGCAATCAAATCATACTAGGAAACAAAACTATAAATTGTAAAGATACAAGCAACACGATTATTGTCATAAGTGGGAAGAGATAGGTACTAGGAAGGATGAGACGAATAATAGTAATACAGTCTTAGTAAATAATTTGATAGTATTGTGGGAATTAGTTGTTTAGCAGAGTGACGGCATTTGGGAAAAACTGTCCTTATGTCTAGTTGTTCTGGTGTGCAGTGCCCTATAGCATCGTTTTGAGGGTAGAAGTTGAAACAATTTATGTCCGGATGTGAGGGGTCTGTAGATATTTTTCACAGCCCTCTTTTTGACTCGTGCAGTATACAGGTCCTCGATGGAAGGCAGGTTGGTAGCAATTGTTTTTTCTGCAGTTCTAATTATCCATTGAAGTCTGTGTCTGTCTTGTTTGGTTGCAGAGCCAAACCAGTTAGTTACAGAGGTGCAGATGACAGATGATTAGAATGTCCCACAGCTGCTTGTGGTAAAGACCAAAAAGCATCTTTTAATGTTGTATAGCAATGGTCTAAAGTATTCTTGCCTTCAGTGAGACAATTGACATGCTGAAAATATTTTTGGTAGCTCTTTCCTTAAGTTTGCTTTCTTAAAATCTCCTAAAATAATTTGAAATGAATCTGGGTATCAAACTTCAACCCATATAATCTGATCAGATAGAGTTCGTAATGCATTATTTACACAAGCTTGTGGAGCAATACACAGCAATTAGGAGAAATGAGGAGAATTCTCATGGAGAATAGAATGGTTTGCAATTGATAATTAATGTCTCTAAGTCCACATCACAGAATTTCTTTAATATAGTTATATCTCTGGACCAGCGCCTGTTACTATATAAATATAAGCCTCCTCCCTTCTTTTTACCAGATGTTTCTACAATTGTGTCTGCTCTTTGTATCTGAAATCCTGGGATATGCAGGCTACTAATCATCAATTGACTCATTTAGCCAGGTTTCAGTGAAGCAGAGAGCTGCTGAGTTGTAAAAATCAGAATTGCATCTATTTAAAAGAAGTATTTCATCCATCTTATTAGTGAGTGAATGTAAATTAGTCAGAAAGAGTGAAGGGAGAGAGGCCTCTTACCCCTTCTTTGCCTCCAGCTTCTCCATTTGTTTTTGTTTATCCATTGTTCAGAGGAAGTTGCTTCTTCCTGTGTTAGAAACTCTTCTGCATTTGTAAAGATGCGGGAGGGGGTGAAGTCACAGAAAAGTGCCATCAAAAAACATTCCCTGATGCTTAGTAGTTGGTCTCTTGAGTATGAAATCCATAGAAAATCACAGAGAATGATAAAAAACAGAAAAACTATCAGCATTTCATCAAGGCTGCCATCAGCGGTGCCATCTTTGATGTCACCGCCGACGGTAGTTCTGTTTTTCATTTCTTAAAAATTGCTTTTAATTTAATTTTAATTTTATTTATATGTGTATAGATAGCATATGTATATGCAATGTATATTTTCAGACCACTTCTGTCTGAAAAGTTTATATAACATAAAACCCTACATACATATTGTCCTGGTTTCATTCTTAGACATATGGCATTTAGTTATAACTTGCAGTAGCAAATTAACACTAATACAATCGGCATACAAAACTAAGAAAAAGTAACACTTTTAGTGAAAGGGAACATAATTTGAGATAATAAAATATTTGATTCATTCTTGTTTAAAGATTACATGCTAGAACCTTTATTCAGATCTTTTTGCTTGAACAAAAGGGACATGAAAATTAAAAGCAAAATATAAATAATTCACAACACTTAAATATTTTGTTTCTGAACATTGCAGTTCTTATGTAAATAGAAATATAGATCAATTTCTAACTATTGTGGTGCCAAAATGATTAAATGTACATTGTGATGTCATAATGTAAGCTCCACTGTTTCATATTTGCATTATAATGTTGTAACATAAATACCACCTATACAAACCGTAATTGCATGCAACCTGGTTCCCTATATGTAAATAAAGATAATGCCTGTCACCTTGAATTTGGAGCAAACCAGCTGATGGTATTTGTGCCTTCCCATAGTGGGTGAAGCTGTGCCTCTGAACATTGGATTGCCCTTTATTCTCCTTTGGGTAAACAGAAATAAGATTATCCATGGAAATAATAGTCTTCCTTTCCTACTTGATTTCTGGCTGTTTCATTGAATAAGTCAGTTTACTGACAAAATCATATTTAGGTAATGAGGACCTTATTCTAAATTTCAAAACAATATTTCATAAATAAAAGACATATAAATTTATACTGAATTTGAACACTTGCATGGTGTGATTCAGTGCAAGTACTGTAGATCAGGGCTGTCAAACTTGTAGCCCGCAGGCCAGATATGTCACACCTTGGCCATGGCCACGCCCGGTTTAGCAAAGGGGGGGAATCCCAATATGTCACGTGACGACGCCTTGATGACATGAGTTTGACACCCCTGTTGTTGTTTTTAACTTAAATAATTAGTATTTGGGTTATTTCACTTTCCTCCGCTAGATGGCAATGTAATATACAATATCAGCTTTGTTGCAAAAATTGCTGCATGTTTGTTTTCTTTCCAGTTCTCCTTTTCAAATCTGGTATGATTTACAGTGTGATTTAGCATATGACCTCTCTGCTAATAGCTATAACACATTAAATTATACAACAACCTTCTTTAAAATGCAAGAAATATTTTGCACAAGGTGTATTGCCAGATTTTTATCTTGCACTTTAATCTTTTCAGTCGCAAGACTGGTTTCAACAAATGAAACACAGTTGTTAAAGGCTTGCTATTTGCACAATACCAAAAGCTTGGGATTAAGAAAGGCCTTTGTTTCTGCAATATATCGAAATATAATTAATGAAGGATCCAAATGATTGCAGTTAAGCAGTGTTTGTGAGGCAAATAGAGTATAAAGTAAATAATCTATTATGTGGGCAAGACAGAAAATGTGAAGTTAGACAATTTTGTAGACAT